GACACTGGGGACATTGGGGGGACATTGAGGACAGTGGGGGACATTGGGGACAGTGGGGGACAGTGGGGACACTGAGGGGACACTGGGGACATTGGGGGGACATTTTGGGGACATTCTGGGGACATCAGGGACAGGCTGAGGCCAGTGGGGGGAGGGCGTGGGCAGGGCCAAGTTTGGGGTCAGGGTCAGAGAGGGCAGTTGGGGGAGAGTCAGCGGTCAGTGGTCACTCAGGGGTCACTCAGGGGTCACTCAGGGGTCACTGGTCAGTCACTGGTCACTCAGTGGTCACTCAGGGTCACTCAGTGGTCACTCAGTGGTCACTCAGGGTCACTCACGCGGCGCTCCCTCTCAGGTAGAAGGCCGAGGCCTTGGCCAGCGAGTAGCTCAGGTCAGGGATGGTCAGGGATGGTCAGGGACGGTCAGTGTCACTCAGGGGTCACTCAGGGGTCACTCAGGGGTCAGTGGTCAGTCACTGGTCACTCAGTGGTCACTCAGGGGTCAGTGGTCACTCGGTGGTCACTCAGTGGTCACTCACGCGGCGCTCCCTCTCAGGTAGAAGGCCGAGGCCTTGGCCAGCGAGTAGCTCAGGTCGGGGTCCAGCGGCGTTCCCATGGGCAGCGCCCAGGGCAGCCCCGGGGCAACGGGGGCCAGCCTGGGGACGGGGACAGCGTCACACACGGGGACGGGGACAGCGTCACACACGGGGACAGCGTCACACACGGGGACAGCGTCACACACGGGGATGGGGACAGCGTCACACGCGGGGACAGGGACAGCGTCACACACAGGGACAGGGACAGGGACAGCGTCACACACGGGGACAGAGTCACACACAGGGACAGTGTCACACACGGGGACAGAGGTGACAGTGTCACACACGGGGACAGAGTCACACACAGGGACAGTGTCACACACGGGGACAGAGTCACACACAGGGACAGTGTCACACACGGGGACAGAGGTGACAGTGTCACACACGGGGACAGAGTCACACACGGGGACAGGGACAGCTGAGACAGCATCACACACCTGGGGACAGGGACAGCGTCACACACTGGGACAGCTGGGACACAAAGGCACACCTGGGCACACTTGGGGCCACACACACACTCCTGGCAGTGTCACACACACACCTGGCAGTGTCACACCCCAGTGTCCCAGTGTCACACACACCTGGCAGTGTCACCCCCAGTGTCACAGTGTCACACACACACCCGACAGTGTCACACACACACCCAGCAGTGTCACACCCTGGTGTCACAGTGTCAGACACACACCCAGCAGTGTCACACACACACCCGGCAGTGTCACCCCCTGGTGTCACAGTGTCACACACACACCCAGCAGTGTCACACCCCAGTGTCAGCATCACACACACACCTGACAGTGTCACACACACACCTGGCAGCGTCACACCCCGGTGTCACAGTGTCACACACACACCCAGCAGCATCACACCCCGGTGTCACAGTGTCACACACACACACCCGGCAGTGTCACACCCCGGTGTATGTCACCCCCCTGGTGTCACAGTGTCACACACACACACACCCGGCAGTGTCACCCCCGGTGTCACAGTGTCACACACACACCTGGCAGTGTCACCCCCAGTGTCACAGTGTCACACACACCCGGCAGTCTCACCCCCGGTGTCACAGTGTCACACACACACCCAGCAATGTCACCCCCCTGGTGTCACAGTGTCACACACACACACACCCGGCAGTGTCACCCCCGGTGTTACAGCGTCACACACACACCCGGCAGTGTCACCCCCGGTGTCACAGTGTCACCAGTCCCTCACCTGTAGCGCTGCCGTTGCTCTCTCAGGTGTCGCCGGCGCTGCCGCTGCAGCCGCGGGTGTCGCTCCATGGCCGGCGTGGTGGCTGCGGGGACACCGCGGGGACAGCGTCACAGCTGTCACCAGGTGCGTCCCCACCCCGCCAGGTGTGCCCCAGGTGTGTCATCAATGTCCCCAGGTGTTCCAGTGGTCCCCAATGTCCCCAGGTGTGTCATCAATGTCCCCAGGGGCCCCCAGCTGTCCCCAGGTGTGTCCCCAACTGTCCCAGGTAATGCCCAGGTGTCCCCAATGTCCCCACTGTCCCCAGGTGTGTCATCAATGTCCCCAGGGGTCCCCAGCTGTCCCCAGGTATCCCCAGGTGTCCTCAGCTGTCCCCAGGTGTGTCCCCAACTGTCCCAGGTATGCCCCACACACCCCAATGTCCCCACTGTCCCCAGCTGTCCCCGCTGTCCCTGGTGTGTCCCCGCTGTCCCCAATGTTCCCACTGTCCCCAGTGTCCCAGGTATGCCCAGGTGTCCCCACTGTCCCCAGTGTCCCTGCTGTCCCCAGGTGTGTCCCCACCTGTCCCCATTGTCCCCAGGTGTGTCCCAGGTGTCCCCGGTGTCCCCAGGTATCCCCAGGTGTGTCCCAGCTGTGTCCCCGGTGTCCCCATTGTCCCAGGTGTCCCCAGGTGTGTCCCAGGTGTGTCCCCGTGTCCCACCTGTGCCCTCGGGCAGCTCCCAGGTGCCGTAGCCCTGCAGCCAGCGGTAGCAGGGGAAGTGGAAGGGGCCCAGGGCAGTGACGTCATCGGGGTCACCTGCGGGGACAGCGCTATCACCTGGGGTGACGTCACCCAGAGTGTCACAGGCGTCAGCTGTGGGAGTGACGCCACCTGTGCTGGCACAGCTGTCACCTGGGGGTGACATCACCTGTACTGGCACAGGTGTCACTTTCACAGGTGCTGACGTCACCTGTGCCATCACAGTCACCTGTGCCACCACAGTGTCACCTGCAGTGTCCCCGCCCTCACCTGCGCTGGCAGTGCCGATGTCACCCTTGGTGTCACCCTCGGTGTCACCCTCGCTGTCCTCTGGCTCCTCCTCCAGCTCCTCCTCCTCGGTGTCACCTGTCCCCGCCTCCTCCTCCGTCACCTCGTCCTCGCTGTCACCTTCCTCCCCCTCTTCCTCCTCCTCGTCCTCGCTGTCCCCAGCGCTGTCCTCGCTGTCCTCATGTGCCACCACAGTGTCACCTGCAGTGTCCCCGCCCTCACCTGCGCTGGCAGTGCCGATGTCACCCTTGGTGTCACCCTCGGTGTCACCCTCGCTGTCCTCTGGCTCCTCCTCCAGCTCCTCCTCCTCGGTGTCACCTGTCCCCGCCTCCTCCTCCGTCACCTCGTCCTCGCTGTCACCTTCCTCCTCCTCTTCCTCCTCTTCCTCCTCCTCGTCCTCACTGTCCTCGCTGTCACCAGCGCTGTCCTCGCTGTCCGAGGTGTCCGGGGTGTCCGGGCTGTCCCCAGGGGTGTCCCCGGGGGTGTCCCCAGGGGTGTCCCCGGTCTGTCCCCACACGGTGACACTCTCCAGGTACCAGGAGCTCTCGGGGAGGCCCCCGCAGGGCTCCTTGTGCACCTGGAGCAGCAACAGGCGGCCCAGGGCACAGGGGACAGCCACACGGTACTCTGTCACCTGTATGGGGACATTGTCACTGTGTCATTGTCACTGTCACTATCACTGTATTACTGTGTCAGTGTCACTGTCGCTGTGTCACTGTCACTGTGTCATTGTCACTATGTCACTGTATCACTGTCACTGTGTCACTGTGTCAGTGTCACTGTGTCACTGTCACTGTGCACCTGGAGCAGCAACAGGCGGCCCAGGGGACAGCCACACTGTACTCTGTCACCTGTACGGGGACATTGTCATTGTGCCACTGTGCCACTGTCACTGTGTCACTGTATCACTGTCACTGTGTCACTGTCACTGTGTCACTAACACTGTGCCGCTGTCACTGTGTCACTGTGTCAGTGTCACTGTATCACTGTCACTGCGTCATTGTCACTGTGTCACTATCACTGTTACTGTATCACTGTCACTGCCACTGTCACTGTGTCACTGTGTCACTGTGTCATTAACACTGTGCCACTGTCACTGTGCCTGTGTCACTGTGTCACTGTCACTGTGTCACTGTTGCTGTATCACTGTTGCTGTGTCATTGTGTCACTCTCACTGTGTCACTGTGTCACTGTCACTGTGTCACTAACACTGTGCCGCTGTCACTGTGTCACTGTGTCAGTGTCACTGTATCACTGTCACTGCGTCATTGTCACTGTGTCACTATCACTGTTACTGTATCACTGTCACTGCCACTGTCACTGTGTCACTGTGTCACTGTGTCATTAACACTGTGCCACTGTCACTGTGCCTGTGTCACTGTGTCAGTGTCACTGTCATTGTGCCACTGCCACCATGTCACTGTGTCACTGTCACTGTATCACTGTGTCACTGTCACTGCGTTACTGTATCACTGTCACTGTGTCACTGTATCACTGTGTCACTGTCACTGTGTCACTGTCGCTGTGTCACTGTTGCTGTGTCACTGTTGCTGTGTCACTGTGTCACTATCACTGTCACTGTGTCACTGCGTCAGTGTCACTGTCACTGTATCACCGTCACTGTCACTGTATCACTGTTGCTGTGTCACTGTGTCACTGTTGGTGTGTCACTGTCACTGTCACTGTGTCACTGTCACTGTGTCACTGTCACTGTGTCACTGTTGCTGTGTCATTGTCACTGTGTCACTCTCACTGTATCACTCTCACTGTGTCACTGTGTCATTGTTGCTGTGTCACTGTCACCTTGTCACTGTTACTGTGTCACTGTTGCTGTGTCACGGTCACTGTCACTGTGCCACTGTGTCAGTCACTGTGTCACTGTGTCACTGTTGCTGTGTCACTGCCACTGTCACTGTGTCACTCTCACTGTGTCACTCTCACTGTGTCACTGTCATTGTTGCTGTCACTGTCACCTTGTCACTGTCACTGTTGCTGTGTCACTGTCACTGTCACTGTGCCACTGTGTCACTGTCACTGTGTCACTGTCACTGTGTCACTGTGTCACTGTTGCTGTGTCACTGTCACTGTGTCACTCTCACTGTGTCACTCCCACTGTGTCACTGTGTCATTGTTGCTGTGTCACTGTCACCGTGTCACTGTGTCACTGCTGCTGTGTCACTGTCACTGTGTCAATGTCACTGTGATACTGTCACTGTGTCACTGTCACTGTCACTGGGTCACTGTCACACGCTGTGCTGTGTCACCTGCACAGTGGGACACCTCTGGGGACATTGTTTCCAAACTTGGTCACCTGTATGGGGGCACTGGGGACATCACCGTGTCACTGTCACCTTGCTCTGCAGCCACTGCCACTGCAGTGTCACTGTCACCGTGGCTGTGCCACCATTGTCACTGTGACTGTGCCACCATTGTCACCACGGCTATGCCACCGCTGACACCACGGCTGTGTCACCGTTGTTGCCATTGCTGTGTCACCATGACTGTGCCACCACTGTCACCGTGGCTGTGTCACCACTGTCACCATGGCCAGGTCACCGTTGTCACTGTGACTGTGCCACCACTATCACCATGGCTCTGTCACTGCTGTCACCGCTGTCACTGTGTCACTGTCACCATGGCTGTGCCACCATTGTCACCATGGCCAGGTCACCGTTGTCACCATGGCTGTGCCACCATTGTCACTGTGACTGTGCCACCACTATCACCACGGCTCTGTCACTGCTGTCACCATGGCTGTGTCACCATGGTTGTGCCACCATTGTCACTGTGACTGTGCCACCATCACCATGGTTGTGCCACCATAGCTGTATCACCATGGCCAGGTCACTGTTGTCACTGTGGCTGTGCCACCATCGTCACTGTGACTGTGTCACCACTATCACCATGGCTGTGTCATTGCTGTCACCGTGGCTGTGTCACCATGGCTGTGCCACCACTGTCACCATGGCTGTATCACCATGGCTGTGTCACCATGGGTGTGTCAGCACTGTCACCATGGCTGTGTCACCATGGCTGTATCACCATGGCTGTGCCAGCACTGTCACCGTAACTGTGTCACCATGGCTGTGTCACCATGGCTGTGCCACCATTGTCACCATGGCCAGGTCACCGTTGTCACCATGGCTGTGTCACCGTTGTCACCATGGTTGTGTCACCATGGCTGTGTCACCATTGTTGCCATGGCTGTGTCACCATGGCCAGGTCACCGTTGTCACCATGGCTGTGTCACTGCTGTCACCATGGCTGTGTCACCATGGCTGTGCCACCATTGTCAGCGTGGCTCTGTTACTGTTGTCACCATGGCTGTGTCACCATGGCCAGGTCACCGTTGTCACCATGGCTGTGTCACTGCTGTCACCATGGCTGTGTCACCATGGCTGTGCCACCATTGTCAGCGTGGCTCTGTTACTGTTGTCACCATGGCTGTGTCACCATGGCCAGGTCACCGCTGTCACTGTGACGGCGCCACCATCGTCACTGCGACTGTGCCACCATGGCTGGGTCACCATTGTCACCAAGGCTGTGCCACCAAGGCTGTGCCACCATTATCACCATGGCCAGGTCACCGTTGTCACCATGGCTGTGTCACCATTGTCACCATGGTTGTGTCACCATGGCTGTATCACCATTGTTGCCATGGCTGTGTCACCATGGCCAGGTCACCGTTGTCACCATGGCTGTGTCACCACGGCTGTGTCACTGCTGTCACCATGCGTGTGTCACCATGACCGTGCCACCATTGTCACCGTGGCAGTGTCACCATTGTTGCCATGGCCGCGTCACCACTGTCACCACCACTGTCACCGTGGCAGTGTCACCACTGTCACCGTGGCTCTGCCACGACTGTCACCAGGGCCGTGTCACCACGGCTGTGCCACCGCCGCTGTGTCACTTTCGCTGCGTCACCGTTGTCACCATCACCGTCACCATCATCAGGCCACCGCTGTCACCGCTGCCATGTCACCGCTGCACTGTCACCGTTGTCACCGCTGCCACCTTCGCTGTGTCACCACCACCAGGCCACCACCACTGTGCCACTGCCACCACCGATACCCCTGGGGGACAACGCCACCGGTGTCACCATTGCCACTGTCATGGTGTCACCATTGCCGCTGTGTCACTGTTGTCACTGTCCTGGTGTCACCAGCGTCACCTCCATTGTGTCACCAGTGTCACCATTGTCACTGTGTCACCATTGTCACTGTCATGGTGTCACCAGTGTCACCTCCATTGTATCACTGCTGCCACCGTGTCACCATTGTCACCGTGCCACCGTTGTCACCATCCCTGTGTCACCATTGTCACCGTTGTCACTGCCATGGTGTCACCAGTGCCACCTCCATTGTATCACCATTGTCACGGTGTCATCACTGTCACTGTCATAATGTCAGCACTGTCACCTCCATTGTGCCACCACTGCCACCGTGTCACCATTGTCACCGTGCCACCGTTGTCACCATCCCTGTGTCACCATTGTCACCGTTGTCACTGCCATGGTGTCACCAGTGTCACCATTGCTGCTGCATCACCGTTGTCACTGTCATGGTGTCACCAGTGTCACCACTGTCCCTGTGTCACCGTTGTCACTGTCATGATGTCACCAGTGCCACCTCCATTGTGTCACCGGTGTCACCATTGTCACTGTGTCACTATTGTCGCTGTGTCACTGATGTCACTGTCATGGTGTCAACCATTGTGTCACCACTATCAACGTGTCACCAGCGTCAGCACTGTCACCATCACTGTGTCACTGCTGTCACCTCCATTGTGTCACCATTGTCACCGTTGTCACCGTGCCACCGTTGTCACCATCCCTGTGTCACCATTGTCACTGTTATGGTGTCACCAGTGTCACCACTGTCAATGTGTCACCCGTGTCACCATTGTCACTGTGCCACCGTTGTCACCATCCCTGTGTCACCGTTGTCACCGTGTCACCATTGTCACCATTGTCCCACTGTCACTGTGTCACCCGTGTCACCATTGTCACTGTGCCACCGTTGTCACCATCCCTGTGTCACCATTGTCACTGTTATGGTGTCACCAGTGTCACCACTGTCAATGTGTCACCAGCGTCACCATTGTCACCGTGTCACCATTGCCAGTGTCACCATTGTCACCCTTGTCACTGTCACTGTGTCACCCATGTCACCATTGTCACCGTGTCACCAGCGTCACCGTTGCCACCGTGTCACCATTGTCCCACTGTCACTGTGTCACCCGTGTCACCATTGTCACCGTGCCACCGTTGTCACCATCCCTGTGTCACCGTTGTCACCGTGTCACCATTGCCACCGTGTCCCCATTGTCCCACTGTCACTGTGTCACCCGTGTCACCATTGTCACCGTGCCACCGTTGTCACCATCCCTGTGTCACCGTTGTCACCGCCACCACGTCACCACTGCCACCCTCACCGTCACCTCCACTGCGCCACCGTTGTCACCATTTCCGCGTCACCGCTGTCACCTCCCTCGTGTCACCGCCGTCCCCTCCCTTGCGTCACCGCTGCCGCCCCCGCTGTGTCCCCATTGCGCCACCGCTGTCCCCGGTGTCCCCATTGTCCCCAGGGCCACCCACGCAGTGTCACCCGCCCCGGCCACGCCCTGGGTGTCACCCAGCGTCCCCTCCCCCTCAGCCCGGGTCCTTTTGGGGACATTTGGGGACACCTGGGGCCCTTTTTGGGGCATTAGGACACACAACCCCCCCCAATCCCCCCCAATGTCCCCAAATCCCCCCAATGTC